TCTTTCTTTCTTTCTTTCTTTCTTTCTTTCTTTCTTTCTTTCTTTCTCTTTCCTTCCTTCCTTCCTTCTCTCTCTGTCACTATCTAGTTATGCAATGTATCATCATGTATTAATCACATTTGTATAGCCGCTCATCTTATAAAAAGCAACTCTAAGTGACGTACAAAAATTGAATAAAACAATAAATGTAAAAAGTTATAAAAATATAAATCATATTAAAAATAAATATTACAAAAATATACAAACCTCAGGCAAAGAAAGGATAAAAATGGCTACCTCAGCAATGGAGCTATCTAAGCATGTCTTGGTTTCCTAGAAGCCCCAGGCTTTAACAGCCTCCCAGAATGTGAAAAGGGTTGGAGGTAATCTAATCTAATCTTGAGCACGTTCCTTAAGGCAGCCATCACAGCAAAGAAGGCACATCTCTTGGGACTCATCAAATGTAGGTCCTTAGCTGATGGTGCATGCAGTAGGCCTTTTCTACCAGATCTAATTGGCTACTTGGCAGAGGCGGCCCATCAGATAGCCTGGTCTCACACCATGAAGGGTTTTAAAAGTTAAAACCAGTACCTTGAATTGGAGCTGGAAGCAAACTGGCAACCAATGTAGCTCATAGAGCAGATGTTTAACATGCACTACTCTAGGAGCACACATAGTTGCCTGAACTACTGTATTCTGTACCAGCTTAAATTTCTGGGTAATCTTCAATGGCAGCCCATGTAGAGTGCGTTGCAGTAGTCCAATATGGTGGTGAATAGGGCATAAGTGACTGAAAAAAAAGAGACTACCAATCCAGAAACGGGTGCGACTGGTGCACAATTCCCAGCCACATTTGGATTATGGACTGATTTGCAGGTATTTGCAGGTATTTACAATGACAGTTGGTTTTAAAAGATATATATTTAAAATTTATCAAGCCATCAAGAATTAAGATAAGGTAGCCTTTATTGTCATTTTTTTCTGTGAATACATTAAAAATGAAATTTCAATGCCTGCTCTCAAAAGAAAATAAACATATACCTATACATAGACATGCACACCCATATTCATATGCTACTCACACACACACACACACACACACACAGGTCTGGTGTGTGTGTATATATAGACACAATTACTGGTCATAGAAATAGCCAAATAATTATGCAACACTGAAAAGCTAAATCTGCAGCTGCTTTGAAGCACTGAAATACTTGTGAATATTTGAATAGGTTTTGAATTGTCAGAGGGGCAAGAAAGGAGATATTTGAGAAATCTATTCATATTTTCTTGTCTTCTCTACAATATTAATATCCATTTTGTTTTCCTTTTATATTTTATATGTAGGCTTATATTATTACTCCTTGACTCAGATTACAAAGCTGTCAATACTTCTACAATTCTGAAACGTTTACATTATGTTATTACAATGAAAATTGTTGTTTAATACAGCAAAAAGCAACTACTACTATTGATATCCACTTTTAAAACTATCCAAGTTGGGGTTCAT